ACTTAGGGGAGGATTTTTATCTTCATTTTCTGTGGAAAAATTAAAGAATAAGAAAAGGTTATTTGCTGTATTAAATGCATGCACTGTCTATAAAGCTGTAGATGAGTATATGCCAAGGAAGCAAAATTGGTGAAGAGAATAATTCTGTAATTGGGGAAAAAATGGTGAAATGTAGTTGAAGTTGCAATGATGTGCTGGATTGAAGAAAATGCTCTGTTTTCTTGCTGCTCACAGCATGTGCTCCGTGAAGAGATATTGATTTGCGTGGTCAGGTACACCAGTGAGTGTGTGAGGAGCACCTTGTGACAAAGATGCCTTCTGGGCCAGTAAATCTGGGCTCTGCAGTCTGTTGGATGGGGCGTGGAGGAGCAGAAAATGGTGTTGTGGCTCTCAGAGATGAGATTCTGCCCAGTTATGCACTAGCAAAGCCGAAACCCGTATCAGGATTTTCATCAGGATATATCATGTGTTCATTTTTTCTATACCCTGGTTGATGTGCCGTAACAAGAACACCAATAAGAATGGTAGAAGAAAAAAAACAGGCTATTCATAAGAGCGTTGCTCAGGCAGTGCCATCTGAGAGCTGCGAGCACAAGAGCTGCTGTGCCAGGATTTATGGTCTGTTACACACTCTGTTATTGTTTTGCGCCTTTTTTTGCAAAGCAGCCATAAATTGGCTCAAAGCATCCAGATCTTATTGCTGTATCTGCTGTCAAGTTTTAATTTTGGATCTTGGTCGTGTTGTGCTTTCCAGCTTTTTCAAAGACTTGTTGGAGGACGTAGGGACATAATAGAAATATCCTGGTGAAGAGGAGTCCCAGTAAAGGGCAGCATGGATGGCACAAAGGAAGGAGACCACTTCTTTTAGAAACAGAGACTATCTTCAGTTGGAAGGGACCCACAATGGTGCTCATGCATGAAGTACTTGGGTGTTTGTGCATGATATAATTGCCAGTGTAAACTCCACAAGTTGGTGATTGCCCAGCCCGAATTTGTACCGCCACCACATGATGGGTTGAAGTCTTGGTGACGGTTTTCCTCCTTTGGCCAGAGGTTTCAAACTCGATTTCTTCATGGTCACTGTGGCCAGGACAGCCACTAATCATGAGAACCTCTCTGTTAACAAGCAACAAACCAGGGAGGGCACATTCCCCAGTGGGCTCCCTCAGCACCTGCACCATGTGGTTCTCATCCAGGTGCTTTAGGGATCTTCTTGTACCAGCAGGGTGGTGTTCCCAGTTAACGCTCCCAGTCAAGTAGCTTTCCTCAAATCCAGTGGGCAAAATACAAGTGAAACTAGGAGGAATTTCACTTTGTTTCACAGTATTTCACTTCCTATTTCACAATTAGGAAGAATTATGTTTCATGTCACTCAGAGTTCTAAGGTGGAGTTTTTCAAGGCAGTTGTTTAATGTCTGCAGACAAAATCCTCCACCAGCAGTTCTTTGCACAAGGCTCTGTTGCAGCACAGACGTTGTGGTAATGAGATGAGACTTATTATGAGACTGAAATTAATTTCTTTGTTAAATTTATCTGTATAGAGCAGTTATAAAATTGCTTACAGCAATCAAGATCCTGGTAGCTTGCCAGCTTTTTTTTTAACAGATAAGCAGTTTGGAAATAATTATTTTCCAATACTGTCATTGAAGTTGAGAATATTTTTGTTCCTCCTACTCCTTCAGCTTTCTTTTTAATTAAGGGTGGGGAGGGGGCACATTTCTAGAAATGTGTAATGAACAGGCTGTGAATACCAAGTGTGAATATTGTGCTTCTTTCTCCTTTAAAGTGTTCCTGTGAGACATTGCAACACTTAAGCAGAACAACTTCTGTACTGTTCTGTTCTATTTTTAGTGATACTTAAGGTATGTTGTAACCCATATATACAGTGCTCTTAAGTATATCTATCCATGTGTTATATGCATCTTTTTATTTAGCTGGGAAAGAACATCTATGCTCTAAAATTATGTGAAAACTAAAATTATGGAAAACTAGTTATTGGACATGTTAAAATGCATTTCACATCTCTAATCAAGGTGGTTGTACCTCAATGCAAATTAGAGAAGGAATTGTAAAGAGCACATTGCATCCTCATGGGGTTATCCTGTGGTTTTTAAACCAAGATCCTACCCCAGTTGCTGTGTGGCCATAAGGTCACTTTGAGGTGCTGAGAGGAATACTGGCCTGCCTCTGCCAGACTGGAAGGGCTAAAAGAAGGGGTGATAAAAGAAGACCAAGTAGGACATTGAAGTCTGCAGGCTGTTACTTCTTGAGTTCAGTTGCAACCTACTGAATTTTTTTACTATTTTTTTTCCCTCTGTGTGAACAAAAGAGAACTGTGGGTAAGTTAGAAAAATTACTTGGGTGGCCTGTTGGTTTCTAAACTTAGTAACTTCTTAAAATATATCCCTGAAGTCAAGAATAAAAGGTTTTTATGAGAGCAACAGAATTACAGGTAATATGTAATAATGATTGATGAAACGGAGAGGGAAACAAAGCAAACAAAATAACTTTACTATCTATGTTCTTTTTTCCTCTCATTTAGTTAAGAATGCTTTGGATTATTTGTAATGCAGTAGCTTTCAGAAGCAATGACTAACTGTGGCAGTTAATAAGACATTAATAACAAGAAAAATAATTCGGAAATATTATCGATGCAATTGTATAGAGGCACCCGTTCTTTGGATTTTGCATTTCATTGACAGAGACAGCAAGGACAGGCCTCTCTACCCAACAGCCCTAGAATTGTTCTGGGCCAGCTTCAGAAGGAATTTTCCAGAAGAAATATTTCTGTGTGGATCTTTTGCTATAGAATTGAAATTCAGCCTTACTTTTCAAATTACAGGTCTGTGAAGACATAGAATAGCCAAAAATATGAAAAATGGACCGGAAAAGAAGTTAAGGCAGGCTCCAGCCAACATGATGTGGGTTTGACCACATTAAATAGGTTGATAAATTTCTTGATATTTTCCATTCCTGTATTAAATCCAGGAGCACCCCTGAGTTCCTAAGATGCATGAGTGGGCGTCTTCTTCCGTCTCAGTGTTCCCTGAGCTGAGGAATAAGACCTACACTATGTCCTTCTAAAACACCCTTAATTCACATTAAAGACTCCAGAGCACTGGATCAGAAACTTCAAAGTAATCCCTGGGTTTTTTTTCCGCATCGCAGTCTGCCTATGGGATTTAACTGTCATTTCCCCCTTGCATATCTGCCATTCCAAAGCCAGCACGTAACCCTTCTTTCCAGAAGAATTACCTCTACGAAAATGATCCTGCCAGTTCTGAGCAGTTCTGTGGTCGGATGCCACACACACCTTTCTCACTGGCACACTCCAGTCGCTCTTTTGCAAGTCTCAGTGGGTATTTATTACAGTGGAACAGCTGTAAAGAATTAACTACACTGACTCTCAAAACATTTAGTTTATAGAGATGCAATTTTTTGCAGGACATGAAGTTGTAGCTTCTTTAACATGGCAAAGGATAAGAGAGGAGGGAGAAGATGCAGGCAGGAGATGGGAAGTGAACTGTCCAAGGAGCAGCCACTGGCTTTGCCTTCTGCAGGGCTGCTCAGATACCAAGGGGGTTGTGTCAGTGACAGCAAGGGTGCAGTGCTGGCACCTGGCAGGACACCCTTCCCCTGGGAGGGAGATGGGAAAGAGAAGCATCACTGGCAACATGCAGAGCCTGAAGGGCAGGCAGAGGGTCACAAAGTGGCTTTGGGGGGAAGCTGGCAGATATTAGGGTGTTTTTGAGAGGTGGCTGCTGGTGGAGAGTGTGCTGTGCTCTCAGGAAGGATTGGGCCTTCGTGGAAAACGTGGCATGAGAAAGGGCAGCGCAGGAAAACAGGGCGGACACGGGCAGGCCTGAGCAGAGAACTGCAGTGATGATTGAGTGGTGCAGTGATGTGGTCAGTGAACTTACCACACTATGTGCATAAGTTAAGCTGCAGAACTGGGCTGGTGCAGAACAGATTTCCAGGCAGGCAAGAGAGATTTTAAGATGAAAAGTACAGCAGAGTAAGACTGCATCTAAAAACTCCTTTTGTCATCCGTGTAGTTTGTGAACTAGTGATGTGCAGTATGACACACGCTGCATGTGGGTCACCCTGGGGCTTGCAAGTGCCTCTGGTCCCTGTGTGTGTTCACAGCTGCCTTGGCTTGGGAACTCAGCAGGAGTGTTCCGACTACAAGCTATCCTGTTTCTGGCAGGCTGCATCTCCTTGCTGATGGCTTCCTTAGCCAGAGCAATAAACACAAGCAGGAATGCAGATGGAGGCAGTCAGTCAGTCTTTGGCCTGACCATAAGACTTTCTCAGCTGTAAGAATAATTTCAGAAGAGCAGACTAAGGGAAATATTTTTTGCTTAATAGGTTACAGCATCTCATCAGTCACATACCACACAACACACAATTTTATAAACTGTTGCACTTTGCCTGGGTATAAATGGATTGTAACTGATAACCCATAAAAAATTAATAGTTTGCTGTAAGTTTTTTTAATGGAGTAAAAAATATTGCAGTAATGAAAAAGCTGACATTTTAAGGACTGCTAGAGCAGCAGATTCATCAGGAGAATGTGCTAGCAGAACAGCTATGTGTATTCTTGGCTATGTATGACAGACCTATCATCAGGAGACGGAAAATGTTTACAGAATAAGGATAATCAAAAACTGTGGGTAACCAAAAGTCCAGGAAATGGAAATTGGGACTACATGAATTTGTAAGAGATTGAGATTGAAGGGAGAAAATAAAGTGTTATCTAAAAAATGATTGAAAGCCAGTACTTTGGCAGAGTTTCATTCCTGGGTGCTCTTGGTCTGTTCATTAGTTTGTATGATAGATACTGTGCCAAATGGTCTCACCAAAGAGCTGAGCCTGAGCTGCTTTATTGCCTTTTGCTCTTTGAGTATTTCATTGGCCATTTTCCATTCAAGTTAGATGGGATTTTTATAAACCTCAAAGTCATTTCGTTTTCATGACTCCTGCTTTCCTCTGCCCTACAGGAAAGGTGTAACCATTTCCTCATGACAGAAGGAATCACAGGGGAAGTGAAACAATGCATGGCCTAATCAATATTGGTAAGTGAATGCCATTGACTAATTGATCTGTGTCCTCCATGGAATTTTTCATTGCAGCCTGTTACCATAATGAGTGGTGTGCACAGCAGAGCTGCTCTAGACAGAAGATAAAGGCTTCTGGTGAAATTGAGCCTTTTCAAATGTAAAAGTGCTGAAAATACTGGAGCCAAGGGCTATTTGTTTTTTATTAGATGCAACTGTCTTTCTAAATCGGCACCAGTACTTCCTTAAATTAAGATATGCAGTAAACACTGGAATTTTTATTGACATTGTTTAACTGTAGCACAGGTAGTTATCTCTGTCCCCCTTTGTTATTTTTGAGGACTTGTTTACTGAGATCAACAGTAAAATCCTATCAATAATTAAATGCTTAATTTTCCTGAGAGAGAAAAAATAAGGTAAACACTGTTTTCTTAGGTAATTCATGGTTATGAATTGAATGACTTGCTTAAAATCAATGTTTATAAATAATGAATAGGATTCTCTTCAAGCCACTCTATAAATACTAAACTGATTGAAAGAAACAGAGAACAAACTAATGGAAATATGTCTTTAGGCAGTGGTAAGATTTTTGTGTGTATGTTCCAATTGATATGAAATTGATTTCACACTTTCACTGGTGACTGAACACACACGAGCAGGTGTTCACATAACTTCCCTCTTGCTCAGGTGCTGCTCAAGGCCCCCATTGCAAGGGTCTGTCTGACATCCCTTCGCCACGCAAACGTCCTGCGTGTCTTTGCAGGATTAGGACCCTCATTTCCCAACTGTTGGTTCAGGCAACTCTTTCTACACTGTATATGTCCCTTGTGCTGAATCTGCACATGTGCCCTGCATCACGGTGGCACCTTGTCTGACTGGGGCAGAGAAGGCACTACCCGGTTACTGCTGGCAGACAGTGGCTGTGTTGGAAGCAACTTATTTTACAAGGGCAGGAGGAAGGATGAAATTGTTACGTGTTTACGGCGTAGAGTTAGGCAATTTTGCCCTTAGGTGACCCAAGTAACTTTTGTTTATTACATTAGGCATGAGAGATGGTGCAGATCTGGTCAGGAGGTTCTTCTGTCTTCCCTTCTCTGTGTCCTCATTGCAACCCCCCACAGAAATCAATTAGTATTACCTAAGGAATAAACTGAATAGCCAATTGAATAGGTGCATTTTCCTTAGCTGTATATGCACAAATCTTGCCAACATGTCTGATTGCATTACTTGAATCAATGTAAAATTAAATGCAGGGAAAATTACTCCTAACTGGCCCTGATCAGCATAACGTGTGGAACAGCCTGTGCTGTCAAAGAAGGGGAGTCACATGTGGCGGCCTTCGAAGCCAAGCACAGTTCATCTCCTGGAACCTGCAGCAGCTTTCCTTGGAGAAAGTGAAACAAATACTCTGTTTTCTGAGGTAATTTATCTTTACAACTGAAGGTGTATGATGCTGCCAGTAAACCTGGGGGGAAGCTGGTCAGGGACGTCTGCTCAGGAGCTGGCTGAGCATCAGTCGGTGGTGAACAATCACTTTTTTTCCCGGTTCTCTCTCTCCCCATCCCACTGTTGGGGGGAGTGAGAGAGCGGCCCTGTGATGTTTAGCTGCCTGCTGGGTTAAGTCCCAACAAAGGTGAAGGGCCTTTCTTCTTTGTCTTTCAAGAAGGATTTAAAAACTGGAGAGAAAATGTGAATCCCTAGAGATGGGAACTGTGGTGCTCAGCACTGGGGGCCTGCTTTTGGCTGTGGAAGTAGATAGTTGGTTAGGAGGGAGTATCATCTCTGAAACAGTGAAGATGACTGAAGTGTGGGGTGACGTATTATGGATGAAGAAGGAGTTTCTATGTTTTAGCTGCAGTGACCCTGAAGCTCTGAGAAGGGGGTGAAGTGTTAAAATGAGGTCTGAAAGCAGCAATAATACTGAGACCTGCTAAACAATGCAATATTCAAGGAAGGCAATAAATTGCATAAGGTAATGAACAGATTTACAGACTTGGAAAATGGTGAAGAAGAAAAATGCATTTAGGTTAAAAACAAGGAATGAGTTTCTGGATGAGTATGAACATACACCCTACCCAAGGGAGAGGCTGGGAACACTGTGTGAGTGCCTGCTGTAAGACCAATCTCTGACTTGGAAACCCTTTGGAAGTGACATTAGGCTTAATTATGTGAATGCTCTGGCTGTTTTAGTAAAAAGTTTCAGCACAGTTTGTGAAACACTCACTCCAGAAATCACTTCAGACATGAAGTGCTCCAAACTCTCATCAGTCTGTGAATTTTGAATGTGCCAGGCAGTGCTGAGCATGTCCCTTGGGTGAGCACGTGGGCCTTGGCCTGCAGGGTTTATTAACTGAAGAGAGGATTGATAAAAACATGTGTGGAGAAAATGCACCGAAAACCAGTGGGCTTGATAGTCTGTGTTTTAACAATATACTTGTAGAATGAAGTAGGGTGGACACATAAGTAGCAGTGCTAATTATGGATTCCCTTCCTGCACTGATTTTTGCCTTAGAGTTTTATATGAAAAGACATCTTGGGAAAGTTGTCATGTGAAGATGGGCAGCCTTGTGCTGTTATTAGGTGCTCAGAAGATATTCTCAGTCTTCTAAGGAGCAATAGCACATGGTATAAAACAACAAAAGAGCAGTTCCAGACAGGCTTGGGAGTCACTGCGAGTAAATGAAGTGGGCGGAGCAGAGCCACAGAGAAATTGCAGACAGGAGACAATGAGTAACACAAGTTGTAGGAAGTTGATGTAAGGACCAGAGGAGAGATATCAGAGTTATGAAAAACAGAGATGAAGATCTCTGTTGGAGCCTGGGTTTGGTGAGTATTCCCTTTGGTGAGCCAGAGTTGGAGCAGTGCCAAAGCAGTGAGCGAGGCTTTGGGGTATGAGGATTCGGAGGTGGGAAGCTGAGGTCACCTGGAGGTGGTATCCTAAGAATGTGATATGATCTCACTGGAGTAAACTTGCAGTGGCAAAGAAGTTTTGTTAAAACTGACAATATATAATATCTCGTTTCCAAATGCTATACAGATGTTTTCTCCTCAGGATGTTGCTTACCAGTTGATATCTGCTCATTTATTTCTTTGGCTGGAGTATTCTTCAGTGGTACTCCATCTTTTGCTTTTGTCTTTTCCAAAAGTGGAATTACAGAGACATGCCTGACTCTTTCCATAGGTAAAAGCAGATCCTATTTTTATTCCAAAGTATCATATTACTGATTTGGATAATTTTTGCTCTGATCTCTTTCTCATCTTTAACTGAAAGCTCTCAAGGACAAGTGTTTTTCTTAAGTACTAATTATTGTATTATTCTTAATCATTACTACTAATTACATCCTTTTCAAGCATGGAATTTCTCAGCACCTCCATGCAGAGGTCAGTAGGAGGTTTAGAGCACGATTGCTCTCTGAAGTGGAGCACTTCTGTGATTTCCATTTTCAAAGCGTTGAAGCTGAACCAAAAGTTAAACCTCTATTTTCTGTCGTTGCACTTCCTTTTGCTTTCAGTGGCCCCAAACCTTGAGGACTGTTAACACACATCTTGTCTTAGTGACTCAGCCTTTTTCGTTTATTTATTTGCCTCTCTTGCACCTTTTTAATAAGCTACATTTCTTTCAAAGGGAAAAAATACCAAACCCATACACTGTTATCAGACACAGAGGAATGCCAAGTGAAATTTTCAGAGAAGCAGAGCACAGGCATCCCCATCTTTTAGATCACTGAAAGATCAATTTTGTTACTTGATAAAGGGTAGTATCATCAACTACCAGATATACCAATGAGATAATGCTATGCTCTGAGACAGCCACCTCTTCCCTAGGGAAGGAATGGGGGAAAAGGACATTTTCACATCAGCTTTCCTGTAGGTAAGCCAGAAAATCAGCTGTTGTGAAATTTGTCTCTCATAGAAATAGGAGGTAGGATACGTGTCTGTGTGATACATCACATGGGGCTCAGTGCAGAACAGTAGGTTGTGTCTGGGGTAATGCAGTTCTGCAGCACTTGTTGAGTCTAATCAAGAAATCACTGAGGGTGATCTCAGAATCTCTCTCTCCATTAAGGGTGCTCTGGAAGAAAGCCATTTTTCTCCCATTTTTTCCAGGGAGAATGAGGCTCAAGAAGCCTTTATCTCCTTGTGCATGTTTTTTACTGCCATGATTTTTGTTTCCCTCTGGTCTCAGACAAACAAGGTTTTTTGTGCCCACGCAGGGGAACCATCGTGGTGGGAAATGACTCCACCAACCTCTCCTTACCCACCCCACACACTGTATTTTCCAAAGGCTCCTCTCCAGTGTGTCCCAGAAGCTGACAGAGGGGGAGGAGTACAATTGTCACCCCAGCAGAAATCATGGCTCCCTCAGGTTCTGATGCTGTGGCTGGTAAGGGAGTTTTTGTGGCCATTTCACTCTGCTGTACCCAGCAGCTGCTGCCTCTGTTCTGCCTGCAGTCAGCTCTGCAGCACCCACCCTTATGGGAGAGATTGCAGAACTGAAGGAAAAAACATGTTTTCTCCTCTCTTCCAAGGCAGACTGGGATAGAAGTTGACTAAAACTGAAGAATCCCAGGCAGATTCCCTCAAATGTCTTCACTGCTCAGTTGTTCAATATTCAGCTTATTTCACTGGCAGGGCCAGAATCACTGTCCTCCCCCATCCCATCAGCAAAACCAGTTTGTCTAAATGTGAATTAAGGTGGGGGAAAAAAAGGCTTTTAAATCTTTGTTTTACAGGAAAGTGGACACAAAAGGCCACGAGTGTATTTTTCACCTTAACAAGTTACCTCTCAACTAAAATTATTTAATTTGTTGATGTTGTTATTTCTTTTTCAATCTGGGAATCTCTTTTGTTCGAGCAATTTGTAGCCCTGAGAGGGATTTGCAATGCAGCTGCAGAAAACACCAACCACAGTCTAATGGTGTGTCAAAGAACATAATTAGATATTAAGACAGATGATATAGGCATCATTATAGGCAATTTAGAAAATAGCAACCTGGTAAACTCCCCCTCAGTTGAAGATTAGTTATAGTTGAATGTTTCTCACGAAAAAAAAAGCAGGGAGGGGAGAATGTTACACATGTCGATGCGTCTGGGGGTTCCCTGTGGAGAGCTTTGATGGGAGAGTTGCTGTGGTTTAACTGAGACACCTCCCTGCTCTCAGCTAAGAGGGATGGACTTGGGAGCCCCATCTCTGCATGGAAAAACACGGGTGCTCTGCCTCAGGGGCCAGGGAGATGCTTGAAGCTGATGGGAGACTATGCAGCTACCAGGATATCACCATAATCCTGTTCATCTTGCCAGCTAAGAATATGCCTTTATATTGTTGACAAAGGACTTATTTTCTTTAAAATTAAGTGATAAATTTTGGAAAAAAAGAAAGTTAATTTATACAGATAGCTATGAAAAAAGAAAACACTTTATGATATCTGGTGTTTCACCATTTATAGGATTTTAATTTGGAATTTCAGATTTAGCTCTTCATCTTTCTGTTTTTATTTTTATATAATGCATGTTGCCATCACATGTTTCAAATTAGACTGAATTAAATGACCAACTGTCCTCCTCTGCAGATGTGTGCTACCTTTTCTGACATGCAAGCTTGACAAATTATAAAATACAGAATTTTCTGAAGCAAAGGAGAAACCACTTATTTTAGACTGAATTTTGGTGATGTTTTGGGTTAGTCTTCTGTGTTTTCCTTGGTAGGCATGAACTAGGAAATAACACCCGGGGATATAACAATCTGCCTGTGAAATACAGAAAGATACAACGGTTTCATATGGCTCTGAAGCTGGCAACAGGGGCTTTGAGTGATTGTATTCTATTTCTTATATGCTGGTTCCATTTTGGATCAGTGGTTAAGGGATGATACCACTCCTGTATGCAGAGCCAGAGCACTGTTATGCAAACAATGGGTGTGCTGTCACACCAAGTTTTGAAAATCCTGCAAAACTAGAATCCCTGATTCCAGTGCATCTCCATCAGACTTGGCAAAGTGCACATGTTCAAAGCAGACTGTTGTTTGCTCGGTGTTCTGTCAAGTGCTCCCACATCATTAGGGATGGGCTAATGCTGCATTTGTTGAAGGCAAGGGAAGGTCAAATTAGAGGCAGCTTGAAATGACACTTCAACCAACTTAAACATTTTCCTCAGAATGTTCAGCCTGTGTTTTTTCATCCCATTTTACTTTACCTGGAGTGAACATAGTTCAAATGTCTTATACCATAACCAAACGTCACTTATTTCTCAAAGGAGCAAGCCTCTGTGAAACCAAGAGAAATTAGGAACTAATGTGACAGAGAGCTGTGACTAATATATACTATTAAAGTATTAATTTCTTTGAAGCAAAAAGGTTTAGTGTGAACTGTAGAGTAAGTGCCAACATCTTAAAAGCCTGTAGTATGAAACAAAACT